GAGCATGAGAAACTCAGGATTATAATCTTAGGAGCTTCTTCTTCGGAGGTATCCTTAGGTGCGATATCTGCATGGGTTCTCTTGTAGGCAAGGGATTCTTGTTCTGGTGCTAGCGACCACGGAATGCGGGCCTCCAGCGCGATCTTCATCATTCTTTCCACTTTTCCGTCTGTAGGCTCTTAATCCAGGAGGACATTATGGTCGGAATTTCCTTAGTGACTTGACGGCTCCTTCTCGCGGGGGATATAACTTACTGTCGCCCTGCTTTCACGGCTCTTGGTGAAAAAGCTCGTCCAGGCATTATGTATTGGGGCATTGGATTTTTTATGGCGATCCTACACGTTCATCAGCTGCCCGTAGCAAGTTGTCTCTACATATTTCATACCCTCCCTGGACCTTTGGGTTCATGATATTATGAAATCTTCAACTAGTGGGTGCTTTTCCCACAAAGGTCTGGTCTTCACATCAAGGGTTTGTACAGAGATCTTTAGATAAAGATCCAGTACTGATCTTTACCGCTTCTCACCAACATGTAGAATATTGAGAACTTGTGAGTGGTCATCTACAGAGTCCATGGAACGAAGGGTGTTATGGAGTAATCTTACCATGCTGGAACGCATATTTTTTCTATTTCTTTCATTTTAAATTTCGCGTCCCTGGTCGTCCATACCGACTGAGGATCCTAAGGTCTCGAAAAACCTCAAAGCCTCAGCTACAGTCTCGGGTTAGTGCTTTCTAACCACGCCAAATTGTGTCAAGAAGTCCACATCACCAAGATATATTAATTTCCCCTATCGGTCAGAGGAAAAGGTAGCATCAGATCCACTGAAACCATTTGGAAAGGTTCCAGTGGAACAGGTATTTCTTAGGGTGTAGTTGATGTGCACATGCACTTCTTGCAATATTCAGCTATATCCTTGTCTATGCATGCAAAGTTCAGTTTTGATGGCTTAAAATGGGGCCTTTCCAGCACCATCGCCTCCGAATGGTGCCAAATGCACGAGTCATAGGCCTTAGAATAGTGTTATAGGCACACACAGCACTTCATTCACATCTCATGACCAAATTAGGAACATCCGGACCGTTTATAGAGGATCTCTTGATTAAGGGAAATGGTATTCTACCAACAGGGTTGGTTCACCTGTGAGAGGGTTTGTCTGGAGGTACTTTATTACAGGCGAATACATCTTGGTTTTGCTGACCCTGGTTCATCCGTTTGACAGACCAGACGAGGACATTTCTATCCTCTTCTGTCCATCTGTTTTATTTACCTCCTGATATCTGGCTGCTACTGCATTAACTATCTGGCAGGATTGAACCTCATCGATAATCATTGGTGACTTCCAAACCCCATATTGGACATTGAAACTCTTCAATGACTGATACAGTAAGTGCTTCTTTTCCATCTCCATCATAGCAAAGCTAGCTTTTCATAGCTGGCAATTGAAATATGATTACCAGGCCAAAAGTGTCCATAATTTTTGCTAAATGGCACTAATAGTTCCTTACTGGCGTCAGTAGAGGACGTGCCATATTCCATGAGGAAGTCAGGAGACCTCACATGGTACATTAGTAGCTCATATTCAAGAACTTCAAATGCTTCCTCTTGTCACTGCTCCAAATGAAAGGTTTCTCTGAGGTTAGCTTTGTCAGAGGTGGGCCTTATTTCTCTATGAATCGTCGATAATACCCACTTAGGTCAAGAAATCGTTTTAACTTCTCATCGATTTTTGGATGTGGGAAAGTCTGCAGCTAACTAGTCCCGCTCTGACGTTCCCCATGTCCTACCCATGCCCCCAAAAGCTTATTTCTTGTTGAACAATTGCTTCTTCTTGGGACTGGCCTTTAGTCAGCTATTAACCACCCGACTCAGCGCTTCCTTCAGCACTGTAAATGCTGGTCAATATCAGCCGTGTACACAATTATGTCGTCTAAAGAACAACTGCAACCTTGTCCGATTGCCAATGAAAACTCTGTTCATAAGGCGTGGAACGTTGAGATGCATTATACAGGCCAGATGGCAACAATTGGGTACTCAAAATGTCCTTCGGTATGAGTTCTATCCAATGGCACTGAATGGTACCCGTGCCCCCCTACGCAAGTCTAAGTGTTGAAAACCACTTATCCAACTGATTTGGTTAAAGAATATCCTCTATTAGTAGCATTAGGTAGAATTCAAATCTTGGTTTGGCTGTCCAAAACTCGATAATTCTACACAGAGCCGAGGCATTGAGCATTCCATATTCAGAACTGACCCAAATGTGGCCTTCTCCTTCAAAGAGCTTGGCCTCTGCTTCCAAAGCAGGTCGTAAGAACATATAGGCTGAATCTGGGTGAACATCATTGTCGCCCTGTTTTATCGTGTGATCAACAAAATGGTTCTCCTAAGAGTTCCCTTCCTTGAGGTTCATGCTCTTAGAATTCCGTATTAAGGACTGCTTTGGGGGGGGGGCACTGCGGGGTTCCAGCTGTCAGTGCCCAGTGCTTTTCAGAAGTTTCTGAAACACTTTTGTCTCATCATAGAGCTGGTTACATTCTGCACCATACAGTATTGGTTAATGGAAGAGCTGATCTAAGAAATCCCTTCCTTCCACATCATCCTGATTCACCTCAGTGACACGGTATTTATCTCATCATGGCAAGACTCTTTTCCCCAGTGGTCAGTCGGTAATTGCTCCAATTCGCTTCCCCTTCATCATCTTTGATGGGATACGGCCTTGCTATGGTTCTCTTGTTATAAACCAACAATGATGTGCGATTGAAATACAAAGACTTACAACATCTGCCTTTCCAACCGACATGATAATGATACAGTCCTTCCCACGGCAACCCCTGATTACTATTGAGTTTCCATTTTCCAATCTCAGTCTTTTTGCTTAAAGCTTCCCTGAATGATGAGCCTTTCCAAGGAGGAGGGGGTAGACCCCTGCAGAGACTATTACTCATTGGATCCTCATCGTCGACATTGCTGATGTCACAGAAGACCCATCAATGCATTCCATGCACATTAACCTCAGCTGGTTCATTAATCACCCTAGCTATGCCTATAGCTTTGATAGATCCTCCAGCTTATGAGCTCTCATAAAAGCCGTCCCAAAAAGCCAGATCGCAGTTCCCTGGGGAATGATTGCATATCCTCGAACACAAAACAATCACCATAAAACTGCTTTCCCCCAATAATAAAATCATCTTGACCAACCCAAGTGCTTCACCAGTTCTGCATCAAGAATACACTTATTGTCACTTTATGCGGAACTCTAGTGGAGAAGGTACACCCGCTGTTTTGTCTTTTCTTCACGTCTCATGATCCGTATATAGTTATATTTTGACTAAATTAGGACTTTGCAGCATAGCCCACACAACGACACAAACTGTAATTCTGTGGTACAAAAACTTCAGTCTAGCATGGTAATGCGTAGTTTATCGTTTACCCCAGCTCCTGGTGTCTCCCTTCGTGCGCCTCATTGGGGGGGGCCGTCCATTGGTTTTGCTCCATTTTTTTTTGCAGCCACCAGTTTTCACTGTCCTTCAGTAGGGTGCACATGGCGCATCAATGTCCCTTTTTCTCTTGGGCTTTTTTTCTCTCTCTCTGTTTTTTCTGTCATTGGTACTGAAGAAATTGTGGTTACCTTCACCTTATGGCAGTCCTCCCTTCCATGTGTCTTGTTCCAGCTATGTTCTGGACCATGGACTCTTGCCTCCTCCTAAACTTTATAGACTGGGTGTCTGTTTACGGCAGCTATCCCTTGTCCTTCATGATTGGCACTGCTTTCTTAGGTGCAGCTTAGCCTGAAACTAAATGGTCGAGAGAGGAATTCTCTTCCATCCAAATATAAATCTCCTTCATTCTTCAGTTCCTAGATCCGGTAATTAGGCTACAGCTTCCTACAAATATTTTTTTAAAAAAGACATATTGAGATATTGGAAGCCTCCCTTTACAAGATCAATTGTCTTACAAATGGCCAATTTTTTGTTCAGCAAAGCAGTCTATCAAGAGTCTTCTTGATCCAGTCCTTGTACGACTCATTCCACATCTCTCCCTAATGAATACGCGGTTCCAGAATTTTTGTCGTTCAAAAACCTAGTAAGAATTATCTTTCTGTTAGGGTTAGCCTTTTCCGGCACGTGACACTGGCGATTCTTTTTCTGTGTGATTGTACTCCTTGCAAACATCCTGCCAAATTCATCCAAAAAAGTTACGCCTTCTCATCTTTGCTTCAATCAGGCAAGCCATTTCATCAGCTGGTGAGGCCATCTTCCTCACCATTAAATAGGAACGCAATGCGACAGTCTCTGGACTGTCGCATTGACCGCCCGGCATCATAGATTGGCTAAAGGTTACTTTGTTAGACATGGCCTTCAGCCGGAATGACCTCCTCCATGACTTTTGTCTTGCGACTCAACCACTTGCTGCACTTGTGTAACGAGGGTGAGTTTTGTTCCTGCAGATTCCCTCAAATTGCGTCCTTTCTGCCAAACAGCCTGTATCACTACGTTCAGCTTTTCAAAGAGTGAAAAGGTTTTGGGGTTTTTTTTTTTTTTTTTTTTTTTTTTTATTTTTTTTAAAAAAACAAAAAAAAAAAAAAAAAAAAAAAAATTTTTTTTCACTCGTACAGCTCTTCAACAATATTTGTTCTGAAGAAATTTTTAAACTTGGTTTGCCTCAAACAAGCCTAACCACCCATATTGATGACATTACAAATAAATCTTTTATCGGTTTCATCAGGAAACCTATTACTTGTGTGGGTCAATAATTTTTAGAGTAATGTCAGTACAAAGTCAGAAAGATATCACACATAAAAAAGAATATAAACAAGCTGGAACACCAAACCAAAGAGCAAAGAAACAAGACCATAACCATAGTCAAGCATCAACCATATAAAAAAAGGTAATATCATTATAATTAAGCTGTCATAATATAACTGTAGTGGCGGTAAGTTTAAAGCCTTCATTCCATTTTCTATGAGTATTACTAATGAAAGAAAAACTTCCTGGGTAACTAACCAAAAGTATTATTTATCAGCCGATAAGATTGATTTACAATTACACATTGATTTAACTTCACAAAACATAAACATGCATGATTCTCCACCTAATTCACTTTTATATATCTAATACTATTAGGTATAGTTGTAAAGTAAGCCAAGCAAAA